CCCTCTAGAACCCTCAGTTTGTTTCTCAGAGTCCATAGTCTCTCATGGTTCGTCTCCCCCTTCGATCTCCTCCCCTTCATTCTTCCCCTCCTGCTATCTTCTTCTTCTTCTTCTTTTTTTTTTTTAACATATAATGTATTATTTGTTTCAGAGGCATAGGTCTGTGATTCAACAGTCTTTCACAATTCACAGTGAAGTATAGTTGACATACAGTGTTATGTGTTAATTATTTCTCATTGTGGTTTTAATGTATATCTCCCTAATGACTAATGATGACTGCCTTATCATATACTTACTTATCACTCATGTATTTTCTTTGGTAAGTGCTAAAATGTTTTTATCATTTAGAAAAACTGGGTAGTTTGTTTCTTTATTGAGAATTCTTTGTATATTCTGAATACAAGTTCTTTCATTCTCTTTACAGTGCTTGCTGTCTTTTGAAGAGATGTTTTTGTTTTTGGTTGTTCTGTTTTAAAGGGAGGACATTTTTTTTATTTTGATGAATAATTTATTGACATTTTTCTTTTATGGACTATAGTTTTGGTGTTGCATCTAAGAAATTTTTTTTTATATCCCAAAGGCTTATAGTGTTTTATTCTAGAAGTTTTATAGTTTAGGTTGCACATTTAGGTCTATAATACATTTTGATGGAATTTTTGTATATGGTGTGAGATATAGACTGAAGTTCTTTTCTGTTTTTTGCATATAGATATTCATGTTCTTATTCCAGCACCACTAAATTTCCTTTTGTCTTTCTGGAATATTATTTTGTATGGGCCTATTTATGAACTCTCTGTACTGTTCTATTGAGCTATTTGTCTATTGTTATGCCAATATCACACTGTCTTGTGGCTTTCTAAGTCTTGAAATCAGGTAGTTTTAGCTCTCTGACTTTGTTCTTTTTCAAAGTTGTTTTGGTTATACTAGGTACTTTTCATTTCCATATGAATTTTACACTTAGTTTATCAATTTCTGCAAAAAAGCCTTTTTGGATTGTGACTAGATTATGTTGAAGCATATATCAGTTTGAGGAGAACTGATATCTTAGCAATAACGATTTCTCTAGTCCATGAACATAGTAGATCTCCTATTTATTCAGGCCTTTTTCCATTTCTCTCTGCAATGTTTTGTACTTTTTTGTGTATAGCTTTTACACATCTTGGTCAGGCTTATCCTTAAATACTATATTTCATACTCTTTGATGCTATTGCAAATGGTATTACTTTTTAAATTTCAATTTCTAATTGTTCCTTGGTATTATATAAAAATTCAATTTGGTCTTATATGTTGAACTTATATATTTGGCAAACTAGATAAATGTAGTTAGTGGTTCTAATAGTTTTTTGAAGATTCTGTCAGATTTACTACATAGATGATCATGACATATGTGAATGAAGACAGTTTCATTTCTTCCTTTCCAAGCTGGAATATTTTTATTTGTATTACTTGCTAAATGATATCTGATTCTCTACTCATAACATTTTTTTTTCTACTCATAACATTTTTTTTAAAGATTTCATTCATTCATCTGAGAGAGAGAATGAGAGAGAGAGAGAGAGATTGAGAGAACGAGTGGGGGGAGGGGCAGAGGGAGAAGCAGACTCCCTGTGGAGCTGGGAGCCGGATGCAAGACTCAATCCCAAGATCCTGGGATCATGACCTGAACCGAAGGCAGACGTGCAGCCGTCCCAGGCACGCAACTCACAACATTTCTGACACTGAATGTGTGGCTTTTCCACACCAAGCAATTCTCCAATTCTCTGTAGACACCAACTGGAATAACTACAATTTAATTCAAATTTGACACTAATTATCCAGAATT